CTATATAGCAAAAAACTCGTTAGGTTGCATGAAAAAAAGAGTTGAATGGTCTTCTTGTTTTTTTTTTTTTTTTCCATATTATGATTATATATTGTTCACTTGATGGACAAACTCTTTTAAAGTTAATTGTCTAATTTTATTGATTAAATACTCAATATGTTCTTCTCTATTGATGAGTTATGATCAATCTTCTAAATTTGTTATCTAAAAATAAGATCATTTGACATTTTTTTCAAGAATAGTTTAAATAAATTATAATTATATCGGTGACTCGAATAGATACGTGTATCGTCAAATGTGCTATTTGATGGATTACATTAGAATTTATCATGAATTGTATTATGATGTATGTTATTATTCCACTATATCATTGTGTTTAGTGTTTGGCATGAGAATGGAAAAAAGTATTGTTAAGAAACAAATCTAACAAAAGAATAAAATAGAAAGACAAAAATAATTATACAATACAAGGATTTTATATGATTTGGTAATGATACTCACTCCACAACTCGTATTAAGATTTTTTATTAAGTTTTGTTAAATGACGGCTATAAATAAAAATAATGTTGTTTTTATTTATAGCATAGACAACTATGATTATAAGAAAGAAAGCTTAATGCTTAATATCCTATAGATTTTTTGAAGATTCCATCTTAGAGCCCTTGCAAGGAGTGCTGCCTCCGCTTGTTAATTGGTTACTAAGGTTACCGTATTAAATTTATATATAGTGCTTTATACTACATGCCCTCGTCCAAATCTGTTTCCATGTCTCAGACAAGTATGTCTCTCTCTCTCTCTCTCTTTCAAAATGTACAAGGCAAAAACTGCCCCCTGGGCCCTTAGGGGAAGAAAATTTTGTTTTTGTTTCACTCTTGTTATGAAATTGAAAGAAACCCACTCCTTTTCTTGTCGTTTCATTAGCAGTGAATCTCATCTTATTCTACAAGATGCTGCTCACATAGCTTGCTATTCTTCTGTTATTAATTTTGCTTTTATTAAACGAGTATATAATTGAGCCGTTAATAACACAGCAACCAAGTACTTTTTAAATTGTCATTCTCATGATAATTTTGATGTTTTTATTATTTGGTCCTGAGATTACTTGGTGCGAGTCAATTCATCTTATTAATCCATGAGAATTAATTTTTTTTCTAAACCCTTACTGTGGGCTACAGGGGATTTGACCTAGATGTCTGATAAAGACTGGACAGTGGAATGTATAAGCTTATGAATTTTTTTATTTGAAATTCTGGCGCATGCCATATTTTTCGTTCTTCTTGAAAAGTCATAGTTATAGTCATAAGTCAATAATGTCTTCACAATTTGGATCCTTCTCGTGTTATATGCATTCTTCACACATTGAACAAGTCTAAAGATAATAAATAGACGCTCTTAGTTTCTCAGGCAATTGAAGTTTGACGATCCAGAAATTAAATCATGATCCATGTGGATTGACCAATCGATGGGCTGGACTGACAGAAAAATTCGGGGTTAAAGATCACTCAAGAGTAGCTCATTGGCAGGCTGCTCAGTGGAGTTTGGTGGTTTAGACTTTAATCAGCTGAAGGTACTAGATGGGCAGCTGTTCAAGTTCCCCCGTTTCCATCTAATCACCGTTCCCTCTAAAATATTTAAAACGTGATAGCAAAAGCCCGTCCAGCTATGGTAGCGGTTCCCCGAAATACCAGGCATCCTGGGTTATAATTAATACAATGCCTGATTAACAGAGAAGTACTATTTGATTTAATCCAAAAATCTCAATCAAACAGAATGAAAATATCAATTTCATTTAAATTTTTAATTTAAATTAAAAAATGAATCGAATTTTTTTCAGCTTTTCAATTTGGTTTGGTTTTTAAAATTTTTAATTCGAATTAATGTGAAAAATTAATTTTTTAAAAATTACAAATAAACCAAAAAATTAATAATTTAATATTATTATATAAATACGATAGATTGATGTGTTTTATATATATATATTTACACTATTTTAGTTCGGATTAAAATAAAAAAAAATAAAAAAATCAGTTTAAATCGGAAAATCAAAATTAAAACTGAATTTTCAATTTTTAAATCAAAAAAATAAATAATAATTTAGTTCTGATTTGATATTTTGTTTTTATAGGTTTAGTTAATTAAAAATCAAACTGAAAATTGAATGATCATCTCTGCTAATTCAGAAAGGTATGATATTGTGCCATAGACTTGATAATTGAATAAAAAAGTACTGAGGAAACTTAAATCTGGCCTCTAATTATTATTTGACCTTCAAATCATTTGATTTCATCAATTTTTTTTTCCAAAAGTAATAGGAATTAAAAAATATTATTCTTTAATCCATTCATTATTAATTATGGTTAAATATCTTATTCAATTTATTATTTAAAACGTCAAAATTAACTCCAATATGCAACTATCAATAATTTTAACCTTAAATCATAATAAATTTCTTCATTATATGAGCTAATGAAGTGAAAGAAAAAAAATATTTAATGCTAAAATTATCTTTTAGGGTATATTAGAGGTTACCTTGGTATTTTGGATGGAAGTATTTGACCAGCCCTTATAAAATGTACGAAATATTTAACCATAACTCGTGTAGATGGATTAGAGGTGATATTGTCTAATATTTATTACGTTTGGCATAAAACTATAGAATTAAAAGGTTGGAGGTTTGAATTGAGGTTTTTCCAAAAGAGCTTGATTTGATAGATCACACAAGTTACTGTACTAGAAAAGGACAACACCCGGATAATAGGTTGGCATTTAAAGAACGTGATAATGAACTCAGGCAGAAAGAAGGGGTCAAGTTGGTGATTTATTCCCCACCACCTAACCTGAAAGTAGGGCCCTTATTAATACTTTTGCCCCATATCTCACGCAACCGGTAGTGCTGCTATGCGAAAAATGTTCCCTCTGTAGCCAGCAAGTAATTTGCACTAAAAACTCCACGAAAGGTAGCTGGTTGATTTTAAAGGTGTGGATGTGAACAATTTCCACGTCGCTACATGTTTTATTTTACTTTTGATCTATGCAAATACTAAGTTCATGTAGCATTTATAACATGTTAAATTGCGAGTTGGAAATTTGATGGATTCTTCGAGCGACAAGCACGACTCTTGCTTAAGCGATTACTTTTCCCCGTTCGCTTTGTTGAACCAATCAAACGTGAAACGGATTAAACTTCACCAAAAAGTCTTAGCATAGAATGAACCATTTTCTCTTAAGAATAAAAACCGACTGATGTAAAAAGATAAATGAACGGTCAATGCTGAGCAAGTTGTTAATGCATACCTAACATGATCAGTAAATATTCGAACCAAATCACACCCTAAACGTATATATTCTAAAAAGGAAAACGTGCTATTTTGATTGGGTTTTTATATATATTTATTGATTGAGTTAGGCTAGCTGCTTCCGCCAAAACTCGTACCATGTGCTCAGTGCTTGTTAGAAATACCTTTTAGTTTCATTTAATTTGTTTCTTTAGTTAAGTTCTATGTATTTTTTTATAACATGTAACTGATTCAGAATTATCAAATACCTTGGTCTATGGTTGAATTATTCAATATCATGTTCCACGTAATGAAAATCTTTTTTCTTTTTTTTTTCTTTTCCTTCTGTGATAACTCTATGTACCATTATGAGAAGCTTGGATCTGTCATTGGGCCACATCAAATTGGAAATTTTTATCAATTAGAGTGTAAGATCAACACGATAGCGGTTGATGACTTTACGTTTGTACCACAGCAACTCTCATTTAGAAAGTTAGTCTTTTTTCCAAAATGTTTTGGTTTCTGTTCCACGGATCTATATATTTCACCGGACCTTAGAATTGTATTTGCTCCACTGGCTTAAAATTAAAACAGGTAATCTAAAATATGGAAAATGATTTGAAGTACAAAACATGAATAAAAAACCATCAACAATAAGGAAATGGAAACAAAATAAGGTATCGTAAAAACCCATGCCTTCCTATTTCTATGTTTTACCCTTTATGTGTAGAGAAATGATTGAGGGATAGAAAATAGACGTCTCGAAGATTATATAATATTACCACTGTGCCATTTATGTGTATTTGTATCAAAAGATTCGTTATATATACCCTAACTCTTATCTATAGTCCTTTTCAGTACACTGATGAGAGGTTTCGTTTAAAAATATTCCTCGTTTCAAGCATCGAAATTTCATAAAACCATCTCAATTTTTTTAAAAAAAGGAAACTATTTTAGTGAATTATTCTATATTTTATTGAAATTAATTAATTAGTTTGTGTGGTGTAAAAAATAATGGCTAAATAATCCGAACCTTGACCTTGTTCTATACAGTATTGACCGTACTTAATTTAATAAATTAAATTTATTTTAAAATTGCCTTCTTTTAGAATAAAGCCTTCCCATATTAATTGTTTCTCCTTCCTTTCTTTTATTTTTTGAAAAATAAAAACAAAATTAACATTGAATTGATAAAAGGACTAATTTATAAAGATTTTAAAATATAGGATTTTAAAAAAATAGCTTATGAACCATGATGAATAATTAATTATCATAATTAAACTAAAAACACTAAGTTATATTAACTCGTTATTATTTATAAACGAATTTATACAATCACAACTTTGCGAACAGGAATGGCGATGAAATGGGACGGGGGGCGGGGATAGTCCCGACAAACTCTGTCCCGCTGGGGCTGGGCAAATTACCATCCGCCTTTGCAAAGGCGACAGGACAGGAAGCATTGTTTGCCCTGGACTTAGATGGCTTGTTTTATTATTATTATTATTATTATTATTATGTGGGTAAATGACAGGCCAATGGCTGGACATGGGCTAACGCCCAATCACTCATTCGAAGCTCGATCCATTTTCCGAAAACTAAAAACGGTTTTTCAACGTCCTTACAAGTTGCTAGAGAGGTTTTGGCATTTTGCAGCGCCACAGCTCTTGCGTGTCCCCGTGACTGATCTCCCCCTTAAACAAGCTTAAATCTTTGATTTCTTCTTTAAGGGAATGCTTCGCGTTGTTGATTTCCATCTGGCACCTGATCACTCAATGACCCCACTTTCCGTCCTGCCACTTGCCAGTAATTATATACAATTCTACCTTAAAATTACGTTTCGTGTTGATTCACTTGGGAGTGTCAATGTGGCAACTGCTATGATTAATTTATTGACCTTGATATTTGGTGTTGGAATTGAATGGGTAAGGAAGTTGTCAGTGCAGTCCAATATACAATTGTTAAATTATTTCTCTTCCCATTACAATCAGTGTGGATTAAGAATGGTGTTTTCATTTGAATTTTACTCTATGCTACCTCAATACCCATACCCATGCCTTTCCGTATGTAAGTTTATTATATCTATTTTTTAATATTTTAAATAATTTAAAAATATAAATATAAAATAAAAATTAATTAACATCCATTGTAAAAAAATTGTTTAATATATATATATATATAATTGAATTTAAATATTTCTTAGGAATTAGAAGAAGTGTTTAATCAATTTATATTAGAAGAATATTTAATTTTAGTTCATGAATATTTATAAAAATAGAAGAGTAACCATTGATTATGGAAAAAAATTATTTTGATTAAATAATAATTAATGAAAAAACCCAGTTTGAAAAAAAAATTATAGGGATTTTTTGATAATATTAATTAAAATTACAAATTATTTTATATAAAATAATAATTTAGAGTATCAAAGTGTAAAATATTAAAAAATTAAAAAAAAATCACTTTTTTTTAGAAAACGGTGTTTTTTTAGTTTAAAAACCTTAAAACAATCCCATTTTGATTTCATTATAGCTGAGCTTTAACTATAATGAAACCACATTCTATTTTAGTATATGTTATAATTATAATGTTATAATAATATGGTGATTTTGGCATGTGCAGTAGGAGTAATGTTATCTCTGCTGATGATAATATGTTCAACTTTGAATTTGGTTACGTGTTTGTTTTACTATCTTTTGACTCGTGGAGTTGAAAAATTTTGGGGTGTATTGTTGAATATGTTCTTTAGGATTCGCAGAGTAACAGCATAGTTGTACGTTCTTAATGCAGCTGGGATTTCTTGATGCGACAAGGTAGCTGCTGGTTAACAGCAAGAATATCTTCCACGAATCCCTTTCTTGCTGAAGGATTCAGCCCAAGGCACTACTAATTTGCTCAAAAGGAAAAATGCCTGTAAGTAAATAAATGATTCTTTGTTTATTTGTGGTCGATTTCAGCAGTTATGTTTACAGGCAAGAAAAGTCCCAAGCATTGTGACCTTCCCTGTCATCCAGAGGCAGTGAATGATATAAAATTTTCTATCCAATTCATGAAGCTGTGAATGAATTTATTCATTCGTCTTTTAACAATCCAGAGTTTGCTTGTCCGATCTACTGGTTAGGTTACAGCATTCTATGCTTTTTAAATAGATGGTTATTTTATTCTATTTTTTGTGGAAAATGTTGTTCGTTCTTTCTAAGGGTGATATCTCTGTGTCAAGAATACTCTCCTTCCAAAAAAGTTGCCTTTTGAATCAATCCAATTATTTTGTGTTCATTGTCTTTGTATATGATTCTAATCACTGGATTTAGAGTTGAGGGGCTTACACTCCTCATATCAGAACTCACAACAAAATTTTGATCCGATTTTCCTTACTGAATTGTGAATTCTAAGGCAATGATTCCTAAACTACAAAGATTAGCCTATAAGACTGAAGCCTGTTTCAAAGAATGCTTGAAAGCCACTGTTGCAATACAGAAATACAGATAAATGAATTCAGTATTCAATAAGGGAAACGAGCTCTTTCTTTCATATCTTCTAAAGGAGAGACAGAACAAACAACTTAGTAAATAACCTAACATAGGGCTATTATATAGAAAGATGTGATCAGTGTATCGAAACTAGCTTCATACTTTTCCCCAGATATGGCCTCTTCCATCACAGCCTCAGGTCTTATATCACCTTCACCATCCAAAAACAACTTCATCAAATTCTTAAGCTCACTAGTGCAACACCTTTTTGTGTCCCTGGTACTGGAGTAGCTCTTGAAACTCTCAAATTCCAGAACACATTCTCTGGAATCACATAACCATAGCCTTTCTTGGCAAACTTCCTCACAATCACTTGATAGTCTATTTCCCAACGATTGGAGGAAGCTTGATCGAATTCCATGTCACTGAACAAAAACACCCTCTTGATCATTTGATCCTCCCTTAAACTCCCATTAACAGGAACATTGTAAAATAAGATCAAATACCCTTTGGAAATCAGCGTTCATGCCCCACTCCATGTGCCTTACAAAACGAGTCTTCTCTGTAAGATTGTCCCCAGCTACTAAGGGTGTTCACTATTAAGTGAAAACCAAATAATCGAACCGAACTGTACCTGGAATATCAATTTCGATACGGTTTTTCTTTCAAAAAAAAAAAAAAAAAACCGAACCGATATACAATCGGTTTTCATTTTTTTTTTAAAAATCGATTAACCGAATTATTAATTTTTTTTTAAATTCATGACCTTTCCGAATTTACAAACCTAAAATCATAAGTTCCTCTTTGTCAATTCATCTTCCTTGTTTCTAAAATTTAAATTTTTTTAAATTTTTTTATTTCTTAAAACAAAAAATCAAAATAAATTATAAAAATATAGAGACTAAATTTGTTTCTCAAAACTAGAGGGATTAATTTATCATTTATTTTATAAAACTTCAAGAGTTGAAAATGTTCTTCAACAAATGAACTAAATTTAAACATTGACCATACAATATTTTACGTTGACCAATTTAATTGTAAAATATTTTATCGAAACAAATATAAGAAAATAAAAAAATCTTGAGTATTAATTATTAGTGAAAATCGAATTACCCAATAAAAAAATCGATATATTTCAAAACCGAACCGAATTACCGAACGAACACCCCTACCAACTACCATTTGAAGTTTGGGGTTTGCAATGAATGTGATAAGCTTACGTTTCCATGGCTCTTCACTTTAACTCTAAAACCAACACACCAAGCGCCACATAAACCTCTATTGGCGTCCCACTTGTCATCCCCCTATTTTTACCCCCATAAAAATATAAATAAATAAATAATAAACAAAGAAAAGAAAAGAAAAAAAAAACTAGGCCTAGATTTGGATTGAGCTACATAGTGGCATTGGATTAGGCTTGACTAATAATAAAAGAGGAAAAATCAAAATAGGAAAAAAATCCTAAGCCAACATTAGATGCATCTCTATAAATACTATGCATGAAGAATACAAACAAAAGAGGGAGAACATATTGTCACCTAGAAAAAAAAAATCCTAACAGCCAAACAAAAAAAGAAGACAAAAAAGCAACTACAAAGATCCGACTGTTGCTTACTGCCTATCCCTCGTTGATCGACATGCATACTAGAAGAAGAGTTTGTCCACGACGATTCCAACCCCACAAGAATCACTTAATTTAGATCACCGAGGAGGCTACATTCACCGTCCAAAGTTTTGCTGTCCCTGTGAACTTTTATTTAGTTTGGTATCTGAAACTCTGATTTTGGTAATTATACCCCACTATGTTTTATTTTTGATTTAATCATCATCCAAATTTTGTTATATTGCATGATTAATTGATTGGTTAATATGCTTTTCATGCCAATTATGTGATTAAAATGGAAATTTGATGATTATGAGATTAAAACATCTTGATTAAAATGATGCAATTGAAAAAATTAGAAATTATTATACTTTGTAATTTTTGGTAGATTTAAAAGGATTTAAATTCAAAATTTTTGTGATATTTATGCATTCTTAAATTTAATCTGATTGGGTTAGGGTTTTGTGATTATTTTATTATTTTAATTTTATTTATTTGTTGTTATTTTTAATTAAAAGGTTTAAGTGTTTGATATATTGTATATTTTTTTCTATATAAAAAGTCTCGATTGGTGACGAAGCTAGAAATAGGCTAGCCATTGTTTTTTAAGAAAAAGGTCAACATGAATTAATAGGCCAAGGACCTTCGTGGAGGCATGTTGGCTATTTTTATCCCTATGATTTTTTTTTTAATGTAATATGTGATTTTTTTTACATGTTTAATTTAATTTTATGTCTAGCAATTTTTGTTTTTATTTTGTATGATGCAGTATAGGTTAGTCTAGATGGAATAAATTTAGGATCTAAGATTAATTTTATCCTAGTGACACGTCTTTTTCTTGTTATTTATTTTATTTTTTTAGCTAATTTTAATTTATTTTTATGATGCTACTAATTTATTCTTGCAAATTTATCTCTAACTTTGAGTTTTGGATATAATTTTTAATATTTTAAAATGGCATAATAGGGTGATATGGGCCTCTTCATTTTTTTTTTTACGAATTTGTAATTTTTTTTTTATTTCATGGTTTCACATGATGAATTTGTGCTCATAGCCCATGTTCATTTTATTTTTGTTTTTATTTGGCATTTTTTTGTGTGAGAGTAGGGTTTAATTTGCAATAGGCTTTAAGTTTTAACTTTTACCTTTTCAAATAAGCTTCAATGGTCCAATGATATTTTAAGTGAAAGATTGAATTTTTTTTTGTGTCTTTCAAATCAATTCTTAGGACTAGAAAAAGCTCAAATAAATGGACATGCATGCGATGATAAAAAAATAATTTGTAAGAATTCATTTTTATTTTTGGTTAGCGTGTAACGCTACTCCTGCTACCAGACAACAGAAATAGCCACAGTTTTTCAACTTCCCCTTCTGTAACAGATCATCAATCGTTCTCTTCCATTGCAGTTCTGCAACTTCTTCACCATCATAATCATTTAAAGCTCAATGATCTCGTGGCAGCAATGCAACCGCAACAATCTTGGCTTTCCCAGCACTTGCATCTCCCAAATATTGTTGAAAACGCTCTGTCATGTTTGCAAAACTTCCCCTTCTAAAGCTTCATGGGCACCGAAGCAACCCTGTTGTAGGGAATGTAGTCCCATCTTCTAGCACCAATATATACCTCGGGCAACTCAAGAACCTTGTGAAGCGGCACCAAAACCTCCTTTCTCAATTGATCACAAATCCTATAAGCATAATGTGCCCCTTCAATCCCTTCATATTCAGGATAGGATTCTCCAGGGAATACCCTCCTAGTTCCTAGCAATGCTTTCACCGAACAGAGTTGATCGATCAAAGGAATAATCAATGGAGGGGCATCATTTTGCTGCAAGACTGATTTTTGTTGTCTTACCACAATTCAACTGTTGCATATGAGTCTTGAGGCAATCCGCAGAGGAACCTGAAACGCTCATACAAGAGCCCATAATCAGGGTTGTGACTATATCTTTCAATGACCTTCTTTGCCATAGCTAACATCTCTCTTTCCTCGCTATGCTTGCATTCATTTTCTCCATCTCGACCTATTCTAATTACTCTGGGAGTGGTAGGCCCGGCCGGCTATTCTTGAAGATTTGGAAACCTCCGACTTCTTGTTGCGATGAAATGGATCGCGCAACCTTGGGTGCCAAAACCTAAATCCCCTTCTCATTCTAGCGTCGACTGCGCCCTTTCTCTGCTTTCACTCTTGTTTTTTGGATCTTTCTCACATCAGGATAAGGCAAGGATTGCCGCAGGAGAGAAATGTGGCTGACATGTTTTCAGTGTAACCGTCCGGGTATAGTGGTTTAACAGTGCTCTTATTAAAATTGGCTACCATGAGATCTATAAAGGCATCACTCATAGTTGTTAAGGCTGCTTGTTGTGGTGTTGGTGATGGCTTAGAGAGCTCTGGAGGACCAAGGAGAGAGAGTGATCTTTTTGGCTTGTTGATCTCTGGATGGCCAAGGATAGTGGGAGGTGCCATGGCTGTGGCTGTTGCGATGTGGAATGAGTATTTGGGTTGATTTGATTTAATTTGACGAGGAAGGCGTGCCTCTGTTTTGTTTTCACATACAAATTTTACAATAGTCAAAGAATAATTAATAATATTTGTTTTATAGATTCAGTTTTTTTTTTTTTTTTTGAAAAAAAAAGAGATAGGTATAAAGAAAAGAGAGAAAATCACATAAAATTTTTCATTTTCCTGCACTAGCTATATCATGCTTGGTTCCCAAGTCTTGTATTTTAATTTTGCTACACTACATTAAATTCTGTGAAATTGGAAACATTCATTAAGCAATAATTTCAAGAGATATAGGTTAGAGGGTAACCGACTTAAAAGTTGAAACCTTTCTTTTCTTAAATGCACCCCACTGATAGATTAGCCATTATAGTGAACGAGCAAATTATAAATAAAAAATGATTTACGACACCACGATGACGGATATCATTTTAAAAATAAAAATTTTTAAAAATAAATTTGAAAAATAAAAAAATTAAATGATATAATACCCACTAAAATAAAATACTTAACTTTTTTTCTTTCCATGTATCATTTTAAAAAAATATTATCCTCATAAAATTATGATGATTTGTTTTTTTGACACCACTAGTATCATATGGCACTACTCTCTCTCTCATATATAGATGAATAGATTAAGAAAATTAGGAGAGTCTTTGTTTTAATGTATATTGGAAAATTTTCATATTTATTTTTCCTGTGACATCCTATCCTTGTTTTCCTCCTTTGCAAGTGCTTTTTTCTTTTTCCTTTTTTTTTTAATAATTATTTGGAAGTGTTTCTAGACTTATATACATGAGACCGTTGGTTATTAATATCCACGTGTTAGCGATGGCCTCTTCCATAACAGCCTCAGGGCTTATTTCACCATCTCCATCCAAAAACAACTTCATCAAATTTTTAGACTAATATCCACGTGTTAGCTCCTCCTGTAATATTAGCCGTTGGAAAGTTTTTGATTGGAATGAGTATTTGGGTTGATTTGATTTGATTTAATTTAATTTGACGAGGAAGGCGTGCCTCCGTTTTGTTTTCGCATACAAATTTTACAATAGTCAAAGAACAATTAATAATATTTGTTTTATAAATCCAGTTTAAAAACAGAGAGATATTAAGAAAAGGGAGAAAATCACATAAAATTTTTCATTTTCCTACACTAGCTATATCATGCTAGGTCCCAATTCTTGTATTTTAATTTTGCTACATTAGATTAAATTCTGTGGAAATTGGAAACATTCATTAAGTAATAATTTCAAGTGATATAGATTAGAATGTAACCGACTTAACAGTTGAAACCTTTCTTTTCCGTAACGTAGCCAACGGAAATTTTATAATGATATGTACAATAGTTATTTCTTAAATTTATTTTAAAGAGAGAGATAAATATAAAAAGAGAAAAGAGAAATATAAGGTAGAAAATTATATAAAAAAATAACGAACGTGGAGATCATTTTATCATTTTTAGTGAGTCTAAATATAATTCAATATGTCTATCTCTCTCTTCAAAATAGATTCATAAAGTAACTACTATACATACCATTATTTATTCTATTATAAAATTTCTCGAACCGGTAGACTGGGACATCATCGTTAAGAGCAAATTAATATATATATTGTGTGTATGAGTAAATTAAGAAAATTAGAAGAGTCTTTGTTTTAGTCAATACTAATTGGCTTCCGCGCTACGCTGCAGATCGAATTAAACGTATTTATACTATTAGTTCATAAAAATATATTAAATTAAAGATAAATTTTATCTAATTTTATAATTCTTAATCAAAATTTTGCATCTCTTTTTTTGTTTACTTTTTAATAATTTTTGTAGTTAAAAAACATGATTTATTTTTTTATAAATTTTTCTTAAAAAATTTATAATAATCTAGATATAAATTTTTAAAAAATATATTTTAATTTTTTAAATATTTCTTTTTCATAACATTGTATCGAAGAAATAAAGTAACATAAAAATTTGAACAAAAAATTAACAAATAATTTTGTTTTATTCATGTTTATGATTTTTTAATTATAACTGAAAATTAGATTTTTTTATAGGTCATGTCAAATCGAATCTTTTTTTTCTTGTCATAATAAAATTTTCAAACATCGGATTTATTTTAAGTTTTGACACAATCGGTGTGTCGAAGAATGACGCAATTGCTAAAAATAATTTATTTTATCTAACAACAATTTCTATCAAATATGAGACTTTGATAAACATTTTATGATTTTATGATTATTTTTATTATATTTTTTGGAAGGTCGTCATCAGCCCATAGAAAATTAGGAGACTTGACAAAGCTCCACCTTTTAATTACCGAGTCTAATCACTAAACAAATAAATTAAAGTTACATTAAAAAAATCAAATACTGAAAATCAAAATTAATAACAAACATGCATAAAATAAATTCAAGATTAAAATTAAATTAATTAAAATAATTACAAAAAATTTAAAAATATTAAAATCTAAATATAAAACGAAAAAACATGCATAAAATAAATTCAAGATTAAAATAATTAAAGATAATTTAAAATCTAAATTAAATAGTAAATAATAAGCATGCATAAAATTAAAAATTCAAAGTAAGATACTTTTTCTTTTTTTTTATTCGGGTTGCACTAGTCCGAGCTCAAAAGTTTTTTCTTTTTTCTTTTTGGATTGAGCTGGACCGAAATCGATCCACCCTAATTATACATGGGTTGGGCTAAACTCAACCCACATCATTTTATTAAATCCAAGCCTAAAAACACATCCCAACCCTTTTTTAAAATAAATCTTGTATCAAAACCCTAATTTTTCTTCTTTCTTTCCTTCCCCGACCTTTTTTCTCTTCTTCTTTCTCTTTCCTTTTCTTTTTCTTCCTAATCTCCCGAATCTCTCTCTCACCATGGACGAACTAGCAATTATTCATCTTTCTTTCTTCCTCTCCCATTCTCTTTTTTTTTTCCCTCCTTTCCTCTTTTTCCTCTTTGTCGAATCCTCTCTCTCTCTCTCTCTCTCTGTTTTTTATTCTTGCCAAACTTGCCATGGACAAACCGAAGCTGGTTCGTCCATGGTCTCCCTCTTCTTTCCTTCTTTTCTCTTCCTTTCTTTCTCTTCCATCTCCAATCAAAAATCCCTAAATCAATTTTTCAAAACCCTAACTCAAATCAATTTTCATCGAGCCCTAACTTTTCAATTTTTCAAAATTTTCTTTTAATGGATCTTAATTTCCATTCCCTAACCCAATTTCAATTAAATTTCAAAAGATCCCCAAATTTCATAACAAAACTAAATTGACGAGTAAAATCTAAAATTAAGGAAATTACATAGTAGAATTGATTGAAGATGATATGGATTGCAACTTTAGTTCGGGTAAATTCGGTCTTTCTCTCTTTTTTTTGTTTCGATTTTTTTATTTTTTTTAGCCACTCGTCAATTTCAAAAATCCTTTCTATTAGACTAACTAGCTCTGTTTATGTTTGTTGTAGCTATTTATTCATGTAATTGTGCTAATTCTCCACCATGATGGTATGAGATTTTTGTCACCTGTTGGGTGCTTGGCTCTCCACCATGATGGTGTGAGATTTTTTGTTGTAGGATATGGTGTGAGGTTGGTTGTGGCGGTAGTAGGGGGTGGTCGCTGGCGATAAGGGGAGGCTATGCAAGGTGAGATTGTTCGCCGTATAGGGAGAAGTTGAAAGGAATGCGGAAAGAAAGCAAAAGTAACAATGACGAGTATTGTAATTAGAAAAACAAAGAAGGGATCTAAATTAAAGGAGATACTCGTTGTATGAACACCGTCGTCCACACTAATCTGTGTGGGGGTGAACAATCTCACTTCCACATTTGTTAGAGTCTTTTGTAATAGAAATATTTTCATATTTATTTTTCCCGTGACATTTTATCCTTGTTTTCCTCGCTTGTAAGTTCTTTTTTCTTTTTTAATAATTATTTGGAAGTGTTTCTAGACTTATATACACGAGACCATTGGTTATTAATTCACGAAATATCATATTTTAATGTAGACTATTGGTCAAATTTTAACGAATAAAACTGAAAAAAAAAAGGAGTGAATCCTTGGCAAGGATTCCTTGCTACAAAGTTACAATTTACAACTACATGGCTAACTCATTTACAAAATAAAAATGAAAAAAAAAATTGAATTAGGCTACCGACGAGAGATAAGTTTGATATTGCAAGCTCGTGGGTTGAGGTTATAGCTAATTGTCCTAATTGTTTAGCCGATAACAATTTTGGCGACCATGGGCGAGAGGTTTTGTGCGTTTTTAATTTTTTCTCCTGTTCGATAAATTTTATAGTAAACAAGAATAACTAATGACATGTACAATAGTTATTCTATGAAATTATTTTAAAGAGGGATGAACGCATAAAAAAAACATGAGAGAGAAAATAAAAAAAATTGTGTTAACGTGGAAGAAAAGAGAGAAAGAAACGAGGATCGAAAAATAAAAAAATCGTGCCAATGGGCCGTGGTTATAGCTAATTATCCTAATTGTTCAGCCGATAACGGTTTTGGCGACCATGGGCGAGAGGTTTTATGTGTTTTTAATTTTTTCTCATGTTCGATAAATTTTATAATAAACAAGAATAACTAATGACATGTACAATAGTTATTCTATGAAATTATTTTAAAGAGAGAGATAAACACATAAAAAAGAAACATGAGAGAGAATAAAAAAATTGTGTTAATGTGGAAAAAAAAGAGAAAGAAACATGAGAGAAAAAATAAAAAAATTGTGCCAATATGAAAATCTTCTTATAACTTTTGATCGGTCCGAATATGATTTTTTTTTTTGAGAAATTTTATAATACACAAAGAGTAACTAATGACATATACACTAGTTACTCGTTAAGTCCACTTTGAAGAGAGAGATAAAAAAAAACATGAGAGAAAATAAAAAAAAATTGAGTGGACATAGGAAATCTTCTTATCAATTTCAGTAGGTATGAATGTAATTTCTCTAATAGATATGGATATAATTTTTCTCTTTTTTTGTGTCTATCTCTCTTGTCAAAGTAGACTAAAGAAGTAACTATTGTACATGCTATTAGTTACTCCTTATGTATTATAATTTTTTTATGTGTTTATCTCTTTTTTTAAAATGAATTCATAAATAATTATTATACATATCGCTGTTTATTCCTTTTATATTATAAAATTTTTCAGTTCTCGTTAGACTCTCTTTTCCTTTTCCTTGAAGATTGATATTCGAGTCAAAAGCGAGGTTTTTTTCTTTATATAATTCACATCGCTTTCTTTGGGAATGGATTGAGGGAGATCACATGCCTTCACTTCTTAAATCAGAAATCACGAACAAGTTACTGGGAACAGAGGTTAATGGGAGATGTCTTACTGAATTAAAAGACTATAAGTTCACGCTTCAATGAATGCTTGAATTCCATGCTCACAGTATGGAATCTAAATTAATATTGGGGCTAATAGAAGATCAATCACCTCAATTGAATCTCTGCTAAAGAAAATATGCTCTGTTCTAGAGCGCATGAAAACGAAAAATGTATGAACTGGAAAATTAACCCCCACCTTTTCTTTTTGGTTTTGGTTTTGAGGATAGACAGGGGAAATAACTTGAGAAGGAAAAGAAAGAAAAAACTACTATATACAGATGATCATTCAAAGATGTAATCAGTCAAGCACAACCAGCTTCTGATACTCTTCCCCAGCGATGGCCTCTTCCATAACAGCCTCAGGACTTATTTCACCATCTCCATCTAAAAACAACTTCATCAAATTTTTAGAAAACCCACTCACAAGTGCTACTCCCATCTGTGTACCAGGTACTGGTGTAGCCCTTGAGTCTCTCAAATTCCAAAACACAATCTCTGGGATCACATTACCATAGCCCTTCTCAGAAAACTTCCTTACAATGACTTGATAGTCTGTTTCCCAAGGGTTGCAGGAAGCTTGATCGAATTCCATGTCACTGAACACAAACACCCTCTTGATCATTTGATCCTCTCTCAAATTCCCATTCACAGCAACTTGCAAAATAAGATCAAACACCTTTTGGAAATTGGTGTTCATGCCCCACTCCATGCTCCTTACAAACTCAGTCTTCTGTAGAAGACTATCTCCTTCAACCATTTGAAGCATAGGGTTTGCACTGAACGTAATTAGCTTACCCTTCCATGGCTCTTCACATAGCTCTGAAACCAACAGACCAAGTGCCACAGAAACCTCCATTGGAATCCCAGACATGCTGCCAGACACATCACAAACAGCTAAACAATTTTTCATCTTCCCTTTCTGCAATAAATCATCAACCATTCTCTTCCACTGCAGCTCTGCTACTTCTCCACCATCGCCGTCATTCAAAGACGCAATGATCTCATGAGGCAGCAATGCTCCTGCTGCGATTTTGGTCTTCCCAGCTTTCACATCTTCCAAATACTGTTTGAAACGCTCTGCATCATGTTTCAAAAACTTTTCCTTGTAAAACTTCATGGCCACAGAAGCAACCCTGTTATATGGGATGGAATCCCATCTATTAGCGCCAATGTACACCTCAGGCAACTCAAGAACCTTACGAAGAGGCACCAAAACCTCCTTCCTCAATCTATCGCGAACACGATAAGCATAATGTGCCTCTTCGATCCCTTCATATTCAGGATAGGATTCTATAGGGAATACCTTCCTTGCAATACTCTCACACAACAGAGTGGATCGATCGAAGGAAGAATCAATAGACGGACACCATTTTGCAGCAAGACTGATCTTCCTTGTCATACCGGAATTCAAGTGATGCATATCAGTCTTAAGGCAATCTGCGAAGAAATCTGAGACGCGCTCATACAAGAATCTATAATCAGGGTCATGGCTGTATCTTTCAATAACCTTCTTTGCCATGGCTGCCCTTCTCTCTTTGCGGGCAGTACTTGCATTCTCTTTCTCCACCTCAGCCCTTCTCTTTGCATTCTGAATTCTGGTATGTCTGGGAATGCTGGGCCCAGCTTTTCTTGACGATTGAGACTTCTTAGGCTTGTTCTTGTTGCGTTGAAATGGTCCACGAATCTTTGGTTGTCCAAACTTAAATCCCGCTCTCTTTCCAGTCTTTCTGCCTTTTCTCTGCATCCACTCTTGTTTCTGGATCTTTCTCACATCAGGTCCTTCTAAAAGCCGGTAAAGAATTTCAGGCAAATCCTTGAAATAACCGAAACCCGCCATGGATGGAACGTTGGAGGCTAGAGTTTTAGGGCGGTTGTTGTGCAGCCAAATTGCAGCCGTGTAAAACCCTTCTTTATTTGATTTGCCTGTGCCACGTACACCTCTAAGGTTACAGATGAGTTTGAGGGTGGTCAAGGGGTTGTGGTTCCAGGCAGAGTAGAGTCTTTGCTTGAGGGTTTCAGAAGGGGTATCAGGGACTACATGGAAAAAGAAATCAAGACAAGGATTGCCAGAGGAGACAAATGTAGCTGACATGTTTTCAGTGTAACCCATTTGGGGCAATTGTTTAGTAGTCGTTTTATTGAAATTGGCTACCATGAGATCTATGAAGGCATTACTTACAGTTGTTGAAGCTTGTTGCTGTGGTGTTGGTGTTGCCCTTCTGATCTCTGGAGGGCCAAGGAAAGATGGAGGTGCCATTGGTAAGGATTTTCTGAGAGGTTTGCTTAGGATTGCTGCTGATTGGAAGGGGTACTTGGGTTTTGGTTAGATGAGAGATTTGATGAGGAAACGGTGCCCTATGTTGTCCTATTTATGTTGCCCGTATCCTTGGTCCCCAAGTATCTGGTACTGCTTAATATAGAAATTTTATAATAACTAAGAAGGAGAAATTTTATAATATTCAAAAATTAATTATGTTATATGTATAGTAATTACTTTATGAATTTATTTTTGAGGAGAAAGATAGAAAAATAAAAAGAGAAAGGAGTAACTACTGTGTATATATATAGTAGTTATTTCATAAGCTCACATTTGAGGAGAGAGATAAACATATAAAAAACTATATTTAAATCTATCAAAAGTGATAAGAAGATTTTTATTATTGGGCTCAATTTTTTTTTAATTTTTTCTCTTCTACAAACTCACCTTTGAGGAGAAAGATAAACATATAAAAAAATTATCTTTAGATTTATCGAAAATGATAAGAAAATTTTCAATGTTGGACTCAATTTTTTTAATTTTCTTTCTCTTATTTCTTTTTCTTTTTTTGCATCTATATCTCTCTTTTACAACTTTTTTTTTAAATTTTCTCTCTTATATTTCTCTTTCTTTTTGTATCTATATCTCTCTCTTTTCATGTACAATAATTACTCTTGGATTATTATAAAATTTATTTTCAAAGAGTTACTCCATATATCTACTCTTGAGGAAAAAGATAGACATATATATCAAAAAAAAAAAATTACATTGAATCCAAAATTTTCACATTGGGTCAATGTTTTTTAATTTTTTTCTCTCCTATAATTTTTTTTATTTTCTCTCTTTTATTTATTTATTTATTTATTTATTTATCTATCTCTTTTCTAAAAAAATAAACCATAAAGTAACTAATATATAGTATTATAAAATTCCTCCTGCTTGATATTCTAATTTTAATAATTTTCTATGAGAAGATCAGTCAAAATCCTTTTCTCTTTCTGTATCTTTTTTTTTACCCCAAAATCCTAGTTTTTGGAACTTTGTTTACTGCAGAGATCAGAGCTTGGTTTCCTCAATTATGAATCTCAATTTTTATTGTTTTTTTTTTTATCCAGATATTAAAGACAATTTTTGAATGAAGACCATTGAGGATTGGCCAATTTTAAGAATTCATTTGGGGACTGGGGTGGACTTTTGGAGGGAAATCAAATTAAAAATCACACAACAACATTTATTTATGTTTCGGTCTGAATCGAAACTGTACATGTATGGGTAAACAATTATGCGCCTTGCAACTCTTGCTCAATGTATAAAGACAGTGCCCGATTTAAGCAAAAGACGCGTGTTCCAGACTGGATCGATGATAGTAGAATCCTTGACTGATTCCTTTATTAATATTCTACGCCATTGTTATTCGTGACCATTAAAAACCTCACCTGAAATAAAGTTGAAAAATCGAACTGATCAATGGTACATTTACCAGTACAGTTCTGACATTGGGAGTTAAGCAACTTGTAACAAATTGATTTATTACCAATCAAATTAATCTACATTTTTCAATATAAACAAATAAACAATTGCTTACGTAACCATAGTTTTCAACATTTTGCATAAGAACATCTTATCAAGAAAAATGGATCCATAACCATAAGCCCACACTAACTAGTTTGGTTTGGACTGAGGCGAGCGTCATGGAGTTGACTTGAGTAAAAAAAAAACATCAAATGGCTATCTGGATTAAATTATATTTGTAAATAATTACATATCTTTGCATTTTAACAACAAGAGGATTTCTTAAGTTGTGGCAAGTTTATAAGTACATAAATCAACGGTTCTGGTGAATAAAACCAGAAATTGGCTAGACGGAGAGCTTAATGAAGTTCAATGGAGAATCCAGATCAACACCATTACTTCTCTATGAAAGACTATATTTCCCATGATAAATGGTATTCAAATCGATAGCATGGTTTAGCTGCGTTAAGTGAGTGCTCATATCAAAGAGTTCAAAGTCAGAAATTTGGTCAAGCTACATTTCTATCAAAAAAATCGACCAACATGACCATGAACTAAGATCTAGCTTTAAATTGCAGAATTGCAATTAGATGCTCATTAATTGGACTTTCAAGTGGTCGCAACCCATAACATCATTGAGCAAGAAATGGACCCCGACGCTAAATTAGCATTATGATCAAACATTAAATAATCAGTAATGTTCACGTATACTGACTTCGTCAGTACAGAAATATAAGAACATGACCCATTCATTAGTACCAAAAATAAAATAATTTTTCTCCGCACTCTAAAGACTTAAAGTGCATAAAACTTTGCCATTTGTAGGAAGTATCCTACAAGAATTTCTTTCCCTGTTTCGGAAGAGAAATGAACAGGTTCAACAGAGTCAGAGACTTATAAATTGCACCTTAAGATAACAAATAAGTACATTGCATACTTCCTAGCGAACGAAAAGAAAACTCGGAGCCTTTCTAGTCAGAAACAAATACATAGGAAGGTCAAGGAAACCATGCATCCAAAGTCCATATTTGGTGCCGAGGTAGCGTTGCAAGGTCCTGAAATTGAAACATTCAAACAGTCTTGAACCTTGTTGAAGGAATGGCATTCTCTGCCTCTGCTTTGTAGCTCATAATTAGATGGCACGGATTATATTAGCGAATTTTATCATCTTCCATTAATAATCAAGTTTCTCATTTATTCTCAATCACGGAAGTGGCCTCGGATTTCACTAAATCCAATAATATATAGATATCATGTTGCTCCATAAAACAAAAGTGAGAGACGATCCATCTGTAAAAATTCCTAAAAAAGATGCAGGCAGCTGCTGCTACTTTTAAGCAATCACATATTCTCAACTTACTCTTAGAATGCAGGAACATTAGCCATAGCTTAATTACATTGTGAGAAAAGATAGATGGATTAAATGATTGGGGCCATTGCTCCTCAACCTTGAAACATAGTCAATATAGACACGAGATATTAAAGTGTAAATATGCATGCCAGTTCTCCAGTTTTGAAGGTTTAAAGAGTCTTAACACAATGCATTAACAAATTAAAGATTCATGTTCCATCAAACGGATAATGTTAAGGAAATTCCTCAGATAATAAACTACACTTGAAAGCGGAATTGCCTAATGCGGCAAGCGTAAAAGACCACACATATAAGAGAGCCTAAAAGCAGCACCCGCAGAGCTCTTCCACCGCACAGCAGCAACAAATAGTAGCCAAACTGCAAGTATGGGGGGATTAGAAGATAAGAGAAGGAAGAAAAGAAGTAAGATACATTTAGAGAGAATTAAATCATCAAGAAGGAATCTCAATCATCTTCTTGACTGCAGACAGATGGACTAGCTCGCAACCGCTAGGAGGATTTAGGTAATATCACATTTGCTTAACATGCAGGTCAATTGTAACATGCTTGGCTTAACGCCTTCTACGATGATTAATCTAACATCAATTTTGTATTCAGGACATGATCTCTCGTCTACTCATCAGTTTCTTCGGTTTAGCCCAATAATTTGGGCCATTTGGATTCAACGTAGAATAACAATCCAAAATGTCAGTCCTTTTGTCTCCATCAGGTCAAGCACTAGGTCTGCCAGCAAAGATGTTCTTGTGTGCAAGCTTAGAAAACCTAAAGCCAAGCTTTAGAAACTAAACTGTTTTCTGTTCTGATCACAATCATAAGCTACACATTAGGTGCAGACTTCTTATCGGGATACAGCACGTCATTAAAAGGAAGTAAGGTGCAGATTTGCTTAAGAATGATATTTATGGGAATCAAGACGAGTAGATATTAGGCTGCATAAGCAAATGCAAATGCAAACACAATGACATTTTGCTAAGATAGTACGACATTATTCTACCATCATGTTCTTCTAATGGGTCTATATCCAAAGGGAGTTTAGTTCTCACATTCTCTCCATCCTGCATTCCATATTATTAGTTCACTGTGAATTTGCATGCGCAATCAGTGGAGTTTCTTCTGTCGTTGATTACTTTGAGAGGCTAAATTGCATAAGCTTTTGCACAATTTCTTTTTAAAGATTCACATGGTTGTGACGGTCCATTAGATTAAAAAAACTAGGGTTAGGCTCTGGCAAGCATGTTCTCAGGCATAATTGGAGTGGACGAAAACCTAGATTAAGGAGTCTTTTTACCAAAAAAATAATTCTTTAAGATTTATATTAAAAAATTGAAAGGTTAGGAGTTGAGTCAAGTTTCACTGAAAGTTCAGGTAGTTTTGAAACATTTAACAGTATTTTTCACATTCACACACATCAGAGATAGTTATCAGACACATCCAAAGTCGGTCCAGTAAAGGTGCTAGCTGGATCATCAGTTTTCAATTCCAGCATTAAGTCCATGATTTAATTGACAGATAAAATGTATTAATTAGATAAAATAAAATAAAATAAAAGTGTTATGTAATACTCTAGTAAAGATAACCCAAAAAAAAAAAAAAATCTAATATATATATATAAAACAAAAAACCAAACACTTTGCAAAGATATAGGCGTTAGGAGATTACTTCTTGTTAAGAGATTTCATTTTTTTAAAAAAATAAAATAGAAAGCTTAATGTTATTAAGATTTTTTTTTGAAAATTATTTATCATGGGAAATAATTTTCAAAGAATCAATTTAAATAAGATGACTGTGATTTGGAAACTTGATTACCGTTTTAATTATCACTTAAAAAAAAAAAAGTTAAACTCTTGATTTTAGCACCTCCCCACCCCCCCCCCCCCCCCTTGAATCACGTCTTCACCAAAAACAATTATATTCAAGATGTAATTGCTCCTAGATTTTGTAATCTTTTCACCAAAATTCTGATTTAACTTCCTTGATTTACGGTTTCACAAAAGAAAATTCTATTTAATTAGAGGAAAAAAAGATATATATTTTCTTGATTTTACAATCTTTTACTTAAATTTCTCTTTCTACAAATTTATTTCCTTATCTGTTCTGTCTAATTTCCTTTTCGGAAAGATAAGGATAAACCCATCGCATTTGCAATGGTCTTTGGGTCAATTGTGTCACAAAAACCATTCAGTCGGTCAGGTTTGTTTGATCTAATGGCCTGAAAGGTCAAATCAAGAAACCGACCTGGTCTAAGTTTTGCTTCATGGGGAGAACAACTGGCTGAGTTAGGCCGGATTGGGCAACAATGCTTCAATCAGTGCCCACTAGAGAGGGAAAAAAGTGGCCTTCTTAAGAAGTAACACCAATGAAGACTTGATCACCTATTTCTAAAACAAATTTTAAAGGTTAAACGACATAGGGAAAATTAATTTCAATGGAAGCTGAGACCCAAATGAGATGCGCTCCAGAAAATAAAAAACAATTTGAATAATCATACTTTTAAAAGACGTGGATCCAAAAATTAAGAGAGGCAGAGATCACACGTACCACCCTCTTAGGAATGAACAGCAACCACTACTTTCCTCATGATCATGATGAACATGTTCCGTGTAAGTGGGTGGAGGAGGAGGTGGGGATATAGGGCCTTCATAGAAATAGGTTTGATAACCAGGTGGAGGTGGTGGAGGAACTTCTGGCGGCGGCGGTGGAAAATCTGGCGGAGGATATGGAGGTGGAATCCCTGAATTTCACCAAAACAAGGTCACAAAAAAAATTGCATATGCTCCTAAGTATTATTAATTTTTTTTTACCAGCCATATACAGCTAAGTCAAACAAACCCTACTAAATAGTTTCGTAAAGTACATCAAATAAAGGGATAAAAGAAGTTCCATGTTTAGATCACTAAGAAAAGATCATTTCTGTAAAAAGGAAAACCTACCAAAACATAAACAGTAAATCGAAGTCAACTCTTGGAGACTGACCTGGTGGCGGTGGTGAATGGTGGTGGCGGTAGTCGCTCATGTCTGATAGTGAATCAGGGAGTGTAGTCCAATAGGCGGAACACAGTAGCAGCACTACTGTGTGTGTGTATATATATGGAAAAAAAATTAAATAGTAGCTATTTTTTTAAAAATGTGCTGAGATACTGAATTGATCATCAATTAATCGCTTATTAAGGTTAAAAGTAGAGGTGTAATGACTTAATTACTCTTTAATCGCTATGTGAAAGCGGGAATATCAGAGGACCAAACATCCACAACTAACATTCAAGCTTCAAATATCACCATCTCCGGGTCCATTTGATAAGTACGTGGCTCTACCGAACAGTCTGACCTTACCTACTTACTTGACCCACTCCTCATCTAACTTTTAAATTCGGAAAATGTGCTGTCCTTTATTTATTTATTTATTAAAGGGAGAGTATAAAGCTCCATAGAGCAATTCCATAGCACACGTCATCGACACTAATCTTCGTACATATCTTGTAAGACAATAGAAAAATAACCAGGAGGAACGTTTGGTACATATAGATCTTTAAGGTCAACAAGAAAGCATGGTTAGCCTTTCAATCGAATATAATGATTTTGTTTTCATCAAATCATACGGATCTCTTAAGTTATTTGATAATCGATTTTTTAATTTTTAATTTCAAACTGAAATTTTTTTTTAATATTTGTTATTTAAAAAACTTAGATATTATGATGAATGATTTATTCAATACATTTAAATTATTTTATATTTTTATGTATATTTAACATGTAATATGTTTAATATCACTCTTTTTTTACTCATAACTTATTTTTAGAATCTTTATAATGATTTGGATTTTAAAAATCTTGTTACATCATTTGACTTATTTAAAACTTTGATATCATATTAAATTTAATAATTTAGTTTGAATTTATTCAAAAAATTTAAACGACAGTCTATTCTCAATATTGTTAATTTGTTTTGTGTTATTCTATTTATTGGATATAAGATCAATTTTCTAACAAAGAGTCAGAGTCAAAGACAATATCTAAAAAGAAAAAGAAAGACCAATGCAGTTTTTTTGAGACATGGGCTTTGCATTTGGACTGCACAGTCCAGCCTCATCAATAATAAGAGCGGTCCATTTCAAAAATCGAAAAGATAATCCGCTGTACGTTTTTGACATATAATTATCATGCTATGTTATATATAAAACTATCTGTAGCAAACGAATGGTAGGAATGGGATGGACTGATTAGGTTCCTCCCATTAGCTTAAAGTTGCCAATGACGTGTTTGGCTATGCAACTAAACCAGCTAAGTTGTTAAAAGGCATCTAGCTAGCTAGAAACTTCTTCGTTTCTTCTCTTGATCACGTCAATAGGTGAAGAAGGCAAAATAATTCGAAATCAAAACGGCCATTCGTTTACCTAAACGCCCCTTCTCGAAAGAGCATCATATGGATAACAGGCTAAGGACGTTCTTGCTTATCTAAAAGGTTGATTTTATCCAGATTCTTCATTGCAAAGGAAAAGAAACCGTGTATTGAAGTATAGAACAGCCAAAACTTGAGCCTCTATAAATTGGCACCTTTATCAGCTCCTAAAAACCAATAAATCTTACGAAATCCCTCTGAAAGAAACAATCGATTTTGAGCTGCTAGCCTCTCTCTTTTTCTTACAATCTACCATCCATTCAAATCAATTTAGTGAGGATGACAGGCACCCCTCGACAGACAGAAACCCAACATGTACCATACCCAACAGTAGTTACAGAACCATCATCTCCTAAAGCTGAAGTGGCAGAAATCCATGAACCACCTTCAGCAGCCACTGTTGCGGAAGAATCACAACCTGATATTCAACCACCAGCATCAGATGCGGAAACCAAGAAATGGGGCACCCACGTTATGGGACCACCAGCAGCACCGAACGTCCACCCTGACAACCAGCAAGCTGCCTTATGGAATGCCAGTCAGCACCAGCAAATCTACGAGTATCCATACCTGGTTTATACTCCAATAGAAAAATCGGAAAAGCCAACCCAGAAATCTTTTGAACCTGTGATCAATAAATTCCAAGAATGGGGCAAGAAGGCAGAGACCATAGCCCGTAACATCTGGCACAACCGTAAGTTGATGTTCAACCTTGAATAAGCCGTAAATATTACTTGATCGTGGCGAACTGACATTTTATGACGCTAGTATATATAACAATTTTCTGCCATCGAAGCTGACAATTAATTTTATTTCAAGTACAAGTATATCTTGTTTGTGATCTATTTAACATATATCTGCTTTTACAAATGATTACAGTTAAAACTGGGCCGTCTGTGCCACAAGCCGCATGGGGTAAGGTAAACCTGACCGCAAAAGCAATCACAGAGGGTGGCTTTGAGTCTCTCTTCAAGCAGATAGTTGAAACCGATCCTAATGAGAAGCTGAAGAAGACTTTTGCTTGTTACCTTTCAACATCTACTGGCCCAGTTGCTGGAACGTTCTATCTATCAACTGCTCGAGTCGCTTTCTGCAGTGACCGTCCTCTATGCTATACTGCTCCTTCAGGACAAGAGGCTTGGAGTTACTACAAGGTAAATATATTGCCACACACAAATTCTGACATATTTTACTGCACTGAAGGTTTTTCTTAAGTATGGATCTTCATGTGAATACGAATTATAAATGTAAAGTAAAGAAAAATCTGACTACACGAGTATTTAGGGAAATAACTAAAGAAGCTAATCTACTTTCACCATAAGTTCAACCTACGTTGTCAAATGGTGCAAATGCTAATGAAAACAGCTAGCAATTTTGGTATTAGTGTGCAATTCCTGTGGACAACTTGAGTATATCACCAAGCCACTTTGTAATTGTAACAGATAAAACAGACAAAAGTTTTTCTATCTAGTTATAAATATTACCACCTATATTATGGTACTAATTAATTCAATAATGAAAATTTCATTAATCAGATTATGATACCTTTGGAAAAGATAAGCACAGTCAACCCAGTTATCATGAAAGAAAGTCCACCAGAGAAGTATATTCAGATTGTCACCATTGACAAGCACGAATTCTGGTTTATGGGATTCGTCAATTTTGAGAAAGCAACACACAATCTCTTAGAGAGTGTGTCGAATTTCAAGGAAGCAGGAAATGCAACTCAGCCAGTTGTTGGTTAGCCGATTATTGTAATTAACATTTCTGATTCCTTTGTTTTTTGTGTATTTCTTGCTGTAGCATAAAGAGCTTTTTGGCTGGTTTTCTGGTTTCTAATTTATTTATTCTTCTCTATCGTGTATTTATTTGTTTGGTTGCCTACTACATTTTTTCATACTTGTTGTAAATCATTTGGATGTATGTTCTAATTTCCTATGCACAAAGACCAAACTTGAAAATTAGTTATCAACTCATCTTTAGGCATACTTCTTCGGCTTGCAATGCCAATGAACGGAAAGTATAATGGAGCTTATTTCATTTTGTTCGATTTTTGATGGTAAAATGAGAAAATAATTGAGAGTATTTCATCCTTTAGTTTTCAACTCAATTGTAACTTAGTTCCTTAATTTTCAAAAATCTAAAGTTATATCCCCCACTTTAATTCTCAACTTAGTCTTTTTTGGCAATACACCGTTAATTCTTCCTTATCATTGCCTAAAACTTCTTTAAAAATTTTTATTTTGATATTTTGAGCTCATATGATAATAAAAATTCAATCTACTATAAAAAATAATTTTTTTTTTTAGAAATTAGGAAATATTTTTTTATTTTCTCTTAAACATTAAATATTTACAAACTCATAAAGAATAGAAAAAATAATTCGAAATAAACCCCATTTTTGTTGGAGCTCTGAAAATATCATATATATTTATCTACTTATTCTTAATATGAATCTCAAAATATTTTATATGGTTAAATGCTTTACACCTAACTAAAGTTTAAAATAGATTAATTTTGAGAACTAAACATAAAAATATTTTCATAATCATAGTATGAAAAAGTAGATAAATGTATATTATGTTTTTAGAGCCCTCAAAAAAATTTTTTTGGATCATTTCCAATTATTTATAATTTATAAATATTTAAAGTTTAAGAAGAATTAAAAAATACTTACTGATCTTCAAAAATCATTTTTTAAAAGTATATTGAATTTTTATTAGCATATGTGAAACATTTTAATTCAAAATACTAAATACTAAATAACTAATTTTTAAAATAAAAAAACTAATTAATTCGTTTCTCGAAACTAAAAGAACTAATTTATAATTTACTCCTTGTTTAATAACTCTAAGTTGTTTTTAGATCCTTCCACCTTTTTGTATAGAGATTATATAAGCATGGGGCATTTTAGACTTCGAAGTCGGTCATTTTTTGTTCTTGAGCTTTTGAGCCCTTTTTATCACCCTGAAACACAAAGTTAGTAATAAAATTGAGGGTAAATAGGCCAAACCTTTCATGAACTTCTAATTTTAGGTGTTTTTTTTTTTTTTAGATTTAAGTCATTCTATAATTTTCAGTTGTCACTTCCTCCTCTAAAAAATTCCATTCTTTGTATTTTAAGTTTAAGTTTTGCATATACATTGGCAAAAATTCAATCAATTTTCTGAAAACAGATCCTAGATTTTTTCAAGTTAGAATATATATATTGAAAATTAAAATTTAGAAAATCAAGAAAACTAAAAAATAATCTATAATGATTCTAATTTTTTTTTTTTAAGAGTCTCGGATAAATCTTACCAATCTTGATTATGTATCAAGAGATAAAAAAAATATCTTTTATTCTTAATACACCGCCAACATATCTAGGAGCTTATTGAGTTATACGTATAAGTTTAAACATTTACACAATAAAAGAGAGGTAAAGATTTTGGAAAAGCTTTTATGTTTTGAAAGTTTCCTGAAATGTAAAATTTTTTATTTTGGAAAAAGTTTTCTATTTTGGAAAGTTTCCAAAAATAAAAATTTTTCTATTTTAGAAATCAATTTTCTAATTTAGATGTCAATTTCAAATTTGAAAAATAATTAACTAAAAAGAAAATTAGTTTAATGATTTAGGTTTAAGAGTAATTTGGAAGATTGTTTCATAATATGGGCTTCCTAAAAATGTATGACCTAATTTGTTTGGATAATCTAAATTAATTGATAATTAATTAGGCCAAAAGAGTTTGAGCTAATAATTTTAATTTAAAAGTATGTAAGATATTTTGGTGGAAAGATAAATTTGAATCCTATTGGATAAGGCTCGTGGTTTGCAATGGCAAGATTACCAAATAATTTTCATTATAAAACTATCTTATATAACCATTGTTTTTGATTAAAAAAAAAAAAAAATCTAAAAGATGGATTAAATCTTCAAAAAAATAAAGTTACGTAGATGTGAAATTCAAAATTAAAAGTTAAATGACTGATTTTTAAATATATTAAAAAATATATATCCATTTATCCTAAAATTGAATCAATTGAATGACTAAATTGATCTCAGCCTTCGTCTGATCATACCTTTCCATTTGATTCAATTTTTCTTTCACAAATTTTTTTTTTTTTTTTTTTTTTTTTTTAACAAATAGAGAGTAAAAAGATAGAGGTTGTCGGCAAATAAAATCGTAAACAATAAAAAAATGAAAAAAATATATGTGATGTGTATGTTGAGTCTTTATAAGTTGAATACCACTTGTAATAAATTAAAGTCGCTGAATTATGAGAAACTACCATTATAAATTATTGTATTATTAACTAAAACAGTAAAAGAAATGGAGTTTTCATTTTGCATGCATTATCCATTTCACTGTACACTCACACACATTTGCACTGTTCGAATACACCCACATAAACTGTCCATTTTCACCGTTTGACTAAAAATTGGTCCCTGATGTTTCAAAAAAATCTTCTTCCGTTTTTTTTTTTTTTTTGTTTTTTTTTCTTCTGTTGATTCTGAGCGGGGGCCTGGTCCTCCTAGCCCACCGCACGGGCCTGGTCCACCTGGTCTATGCCTTTTTTTTTTTTTTTCAAAGTTCATTTAATTTATTTATATTAAAGATTTTTTTTTTGAAAAATTTTAAAATATATTTTAAAATATTTAACTAGATTTATTTAATTTATTTTTTAAAAACTAGTCTATTTATTTTATTACAAGTTCATATTTTTTTAATGCATTTTCTTGAATTTTGAATTAAAATTTCAATTTAGATTATTGTAATTTTTATTTAAGAATCAATACATAAAAAAATAATAATGTATTTTTAAGTATAAAATTTATATAAAATATAAGAAATAATTATTTAAATAAAAATGTTTTTTTGAAAAATTTAATGCTTTTTTCAGTTTTTTATTTAATATATTTTAATAGATCCATAATATATCATGAATTATTAAATTAAAATGATTTTATTCTACTCTATCTATAGCGTTGCGTATGTAACCGACTAGAAAATCAATATTCTTAATTTAAAATTTAAATTTTCATTATTGATTGTTCTCTATAATTTTTAAATAAAATTTTAAAATGTGATTTTTTTTATAAAAATATTATTTATATAATGGATTTTTAGAGTTTCGAAATGATAGCAATATGATTATAAATAAAAAAAATTAAAAATATTTTCCAGAGGATTTCTATCAGATTTTTTTAAGAGAATAATTTTTTAGTTAAAAAGACATGGATTTTTAGATTTCTTGTTTAGATTATTACTATTTTTTAGTTAAAAATCAAATAAATAAAAATAAATCGTGTTCTTTTTAGCAGAAAATTTATGAAAAATATAATGAATAATTAGTCAAAAAAAATTTTTGATAAAAAAAATTAGAAAACTGAATGGATTTTTTTTTCATTTTTGATTCACTATATTTTGACGGATTCACAATATAGCATAAACTTTAAATTATAATGATTTTATATATTCTATCTAATCCGCAATATAACATAACATGGGTTAAAACTAATATACAAAACTAAAAAAAAGCTAGTATGTCAAGAAAAAAAGCTTTTTAGTTTATGTCAATATTTTAGATTTGTTGTGTGTTCATAGACAACAATATATGATTTTTTAATATTTATATGTGTAGATTAAAGATTTTTTTTTAACCTAATTTTGTATTTTGATATATTATATATGTGTTTAACCTACCATTGGACTTTACTGTAATTGTTAATTATAAATTTTATTCAAAATAAAAATATAATGAATAATATTAATTTAAAAAAATTTACATGAGAATGATATTTTACAGTGTTTTTTCAAGTTACTGTGAGAACTTTTCTCTTGTTCGTTCATTTTGAAGGATTCACGTCAAGATTCTGACAGTTTTATGGCCAACTCTAGTGCATGGATGTCGACGTTCAAGATGCTAGTCTCATTTTCTGAAAAAAAAAAAAAAAAAAATTATAGGAGTGTAAGCACCAGAGAGGTGTTTTAATGCAATTTGAGAAAATTTTTAATTTTCACATAATGGGCGCGTTTGATTTTTCATAAAATAACACAAAAATATATTTAGGAAGTATGGACCGACATTCGACTCAACCATACCAGGTCCAAGCGCTAGCCCCATCCGCATGACATAAACACGTGTGGCCGAACATTTTTCGAAAGGTAAGGAAAACCCAGGAAAAATTATGCCCAAGTGCAGCGCAGCGCTGGTCACATAAATATTTCATCCTTTAGTTTCAACTCAATTGTAACTTAGTTCCTTAATGTTCAAACATCTATAGTTATATCTTCCACTTTAATTCTCCATTTATGAGTTAGTCTTTTTTGGCAATACACAGTTAATTCTTCGTTATCATTGCCTAAAACTTCTTTAAAAAATTTAATTTTTCATATTTTGAGCTAAAATTTCTACATATGATGATAAAAATTCAATCTACTATAAAAATAATTTCAATTTTTTTTTGAAATTAGGAAGTATTTTTTTATTTTTTCTTCAACACTAAATATTTACAAACTCATAAAAAATAGAAAAATAATTGAAAATGATCCCAATTTCTTTTTTTTGAAGATCCGAATATATATATATATATATATATATATATATATATATATATATATATATATATATATATATATATATATATATCTCAAAATATTTATAGGGTCGAATGCTTAACATCTAACTAAATTTTAAAATAGATTAATTTTGAGAACTACACATAAAAATATTTTCATAATCATATTATGAAAACATAGATAAATGTATATTATGTTTTTAGAGCCCTCAATTTATTTTTTGGATCGTTTCAAAGTATTTATAATTTTATAAATATTTAAAATCTGAGAAGAATTAAAAAGTACTTCCTAATCTTCAAAAATTTTGAAATCGTTTTTTAAAAGTATATTGAATTTTTATTAGCATATGTGAAACATTTTAATTCAAAATACTAAATAATTAATAACTAATTTTTTAAATAAGAAAACTAATTAATTCATTTTTGAAACTAAAAGTACTAATTTATAATTTACTCCTTGTTTAATAACTCTGAGTTGTTTTTAGATCCTCCCACTTTTTTTGTATAGAGATTATGTAAACATGGGGGATTTTAGGCTCCGGAGTCCGTCATTTTTTGTTCTTGAGCTTTTGGACCCTTTTTATCACCCTGAAACACGAAGTTAACAATAAAATTAAGGATAAATAGACCAAACCTTTCAAAAAATTCTAATTTTAGATGTTTTTTTTAGATTTAATTTATTCTATAATTTTCAGTTATCACTTCCTTTTCTAAAAAATTCAATTCTTAATATTTTGAGTTTAAGTTTGGCTTATACATTGGGAAAATTTTAATTTATTTTATGCAAAAATCCTAGATTTTTTCAAGGTTAGAATGTATATATATATATATATATATATATATATATATATATATAATTAAAATTTAAAAAAAATCAAGAAAACTAAAAAATAATCTATAATGATTTAAATTTTTTTGAAGAGTCCCAGATAAATCTTACTAAATAATTTTCATTATGAAACTATTTAAGTGACATTTTTTTTGATAAAAAAATCTAAAACATGGATTAAATCTTCAAAAAATAAGTTCAAGAGAGATGAAATTCAAAATTAAAAGTTAAATGACTGATTTTCAAATATATCAAAGTTTAAGATAAGTTTGATCCATTTATACTAAAATTAAATCAACGTCCTTTGATCATGCCTTTCCATTTGATTCAATTTTTCTTTCTCTATTTTTTTTTTTTAAATAGAAGTAAAAAAGATAGAGGTTGCCGGCAAATAAAATCGTAAACAATAAAAGAAATGAAAAAAAAAACACGTAATGTGTATGTTGAGTCATTAGAAGTTGAATAACACTAGTGAGAAATAGCTGAATTGTGAGAAACAACCCTTACACATGATTATATTATACATTATATTAGTATACATAAAACTCAAACAGAATGAATGCAACCAAGTTTGTTTAAATTTTTGTACTTTGGTCTCTTTGTTTTTCAAAAACTTTTGTTTCGTACAAGAATTTTATTTGTTTTTCATTTTGGTCCATGCATGTTAAGAGGAAAGAGAATAGAGAAAGAGAGGCCTATTCTGACTACCATGATCATCAAATTTATCACCATTTTATTTGTCTTCAAAAATAAAATTTGTTTATGATGGTCACAAGTGAAATAGTTAGATAAGGTAAATCAAAATCAAAAAATATTTTTAGTTTTTTTATTTGATTTTTTAGGAGTTAAAATAGATTGTTCCAAACAAAGGAGTTTGTTGATATTATTTTTTTGATTTTGGACAAAAATAAAACTGAATTTAAGTTTGGAGAGATCCAAAATTAAAAAACCATTTCTTTTCGGCCAACCACAGTTCGCCGGAAAATACGACGACCAGTTTTTATTTTTTATTTTTGGGTCTGGCTTGCCTGGGCCGGGAACCAGGCGCGCAGGCTTGGAATCAGGCCTCAGCACATGCGCATGCTTATGCTCAAGGCAGGCCCAAGCGCGCGCTCAAGCCTACTCTTTGGCCCATTTTGTTTTTTTCAATAATTGATATTTTTAATGGATTTTTGGGAAAAAAAATAATGGAAGATTGATTTTTTATTTTCTCATGAAGTTATGCAAGGATAAATTATATATGATAAATTTCAAATAATTTATCTGAGATTTCCTTTATGTTTGTTATCTTCGACCAACTAAATCTAATCATGATGTTTTCAAAAAAGTTAAATAATCGATTTTATTAAAAATTAATTATGCTTTTACACATATAACATCAATTATTTGTTTTTTTAAAATAATATGAAACTAATTTTTTTTTTGAAATAAGTTTTTTTTTTAAATATCATCAAATCCTTCAAATATAGTTTTTTATATGCTAACATTATTGATTATTTTATAAATAAATATATATAAATCAACTATAAGTACTTTAACAAACTAATTTTCTCATCAACATTGGATAAGAAATTTTTTATTTGTTAATTTTTATTCAAGTCTATACATTAGTTGTAGTTTTAGTTTTTGGATATAATCTTATGAGAAATATATTTTAAAAGTATTTTTTTTAATTTTGGATTGATATTTTAGTTTAATTTATTTTAAATTTTTATTTAAGAATCCATGCATAAAGAAGAATAGATTATGTTTTTTTTTTAAGTAGAAAATTCATAAAAAACATAAAAAAAGGTTAATTATATACTAAAATTTAATTAAAAAATTATAAAGTTTGACGTGGTTTTATCCAGTAGCCGCAACGTAGCAACACGACTAATTTGGATCTAAAATGAAAACTTCTGATTTTTAGGCTAATTTTCATGTTTTGTATTTTCAGGCTTAAAAGAAGTTTCAAGAGGGTTTTTTTTTTTTTTTTTTTTTAAATGATGATTATGAAGTGCTTGCAGCTGAAAAAGGTGAAAAAAGGTAAAGAAGAAGAAGTTTTAGGAAGAATTCTAGTCCTGGCCCACGTTATCGGAATTCAGAAATCGGACCCAATGAACTAGGTGGGTGGAACGTCATCCAGGAGGATGATCCGTAAGCCCACATAATTTTGTTTGTACTTTCTATTTGTTATTAAAGCCTATGAAACCTGGGCCTTCGACTAGGATGTTCAATAGCCCACAAGAGTCCATCTTGTGGCATAGTGTAATGTCTGGCCTGCATTTATTTATTTTAATGTTTTCTTCCTTTTAAAAATTTTCTTTTCTTACTACTTTATCATTTTTTTTCTATTTTTTATTTTTAAATTCCTTATAATTCATTATCTTATCCCTCTGTCTTCCACACTTTTTCATTCTTGACATTCACTTTTCTTTTTTCTTTTTTTCTTTTAAACAATATCTTTAGTTTTATTATATTTTTAAACACACATACAGTTATAAGAATATTATAAGATGCATTATTGTTATTGATATTGTCAAAATCAAGTGGTAATACTGGGATGTAATAGAAATTTATATTTAAAAAATTATTTTATGCTCTATTTGGCATGAATTTGGTGAAATTTTGTTTCCTCTACTTTTACCTTATCTATTTCCATTCTTTTTCTTAGTTTACAATTTTGTTTCTTAGATATTTTCTAGATTCATTTGGACAAAAAATATGAAAAATCAAACACAGTCACAATTATATTTAAAACCCACGAATAACTTTTAGTGCCTCCCTAAAACCGAATCAGAGAGGGAGAATTTCTACAAAAAGAGAGTCCTAATCCCTTTGATAGGTTCCGTTATATTAAGACCGCTGATAAAAAATAGAAGTTGCTGATGCCTGATGACATGTTTGGGTATTTAAAACAAAGAAGCCAGAGATTCCTTTCTTCTCCTGATTGTATTAATCAGTCAAGACGCTGAAAATTAGTGCTTTGACTTTGGCTTCCGTTAAAAGCAATGCCCTTTCTAGAAAGAGCATAATGTGTACATGGCAAACGGCACTTTCTTGCTATCTAGAAGGTTGATTTTCATCGTTCTTCACTGTAAAGAAAACGAAACCGTGTCCAGAAATTATATAGAATGGAAAACCCAAAAATGGAACCTCTATAAATAGAGAGTTTATTAGCACCTAACAAACAATCAAATTTTCCAAGAGTTCGCTGAAAGAAATAACAACCAGTCTTACCGCCAGTTTTTGTGTTTTGCCACCTTTACCGGCTTCCATTCACTCAAGATGACTAGCAACCCTCAAGAAACAGAAACCCAACAAATACCACATGACCCGCCAGTAGCATCATCTCCTAAAGCCGATCAAGAGGCAGAATTCAACGAACCAACCTCCTCTGCCACTGTCACGGAGAAATCACAGCCTGATCAACCACCAGCATCGGATGAGGAAACCAAGAAATGGGGCACCCACATCATGGGACCACCAGCAGCACCTAACGTCCACCCTGACAACCAACAGGCTGCCTTATGGAATGCCGGTGAGCACCAGCAAATCTCTGATTATCCATACCTGGTTTATACTCCCATTGAAAAATCGGAAAAATCAACCCAGAAATCTTTTGAACCTGTGATCCATAAGTTTCAAGAATGGGGCAAGAAGTCAGAGACCGTAGCCCGCAACATCTGGCACAATCGTAAGTTGATGTTCATACCATGAATAACACCTTAAATATTACATAATTGTGGCGAACTGAACAATTTATGATGCTAATATATATAACAATTTTTTGGCATCGAATTTTATTTCAAGTACATCTTGTTTGTGATCTATTTTTAACATATATCTGCATTTACAATTGGTTGCAGTTAAAACTGGTCCGTCTGTGCCACAAGCCGTATGGGGTAAGGTAAACCTGACCGCAAAAGCAATCACAGAGGGTGGCTTTGAGTCTCTCTTCAAGCAGATATTTGAAACCGATCCTAATGAGAAGCTGAAGAAGACTTTTGCTTGTTACCTTTCAACATCTACTGGCCCAGTTGCTGGAACTTTCTATCTGTCAACTGCTCGAGTCGCTTTCTGCAGTGATCGTCCTCTGTGCTATACTGCTCCTTCAGGACAAGAGGCTTGGAGTTACTACAAGGTAAATATATTGCCACGCACAAATTCTGACATATTTTACTGCACTGAAGGTTTTTCTTAACTACGTCTCTTTATGTAAATAAGAATTATAAATGTAAAGAAAAATCACTACACGAGTGTTTAGAGAAATAACTAAAGAAGCTAATCTACTTTCACCATAAGCTTAAGCTACATTGTCTAATTGTGATCTAGTTATAATTATTACCGCTTATATTACGGTACTAATTAATTCAATAATGAAAATTTCGTTAATCAGGTTATGATACCCTTGGAAAAGATAAGCACAGTCAACCCAGTCATCATGAAAGAAAGTCCACCCGAGAAGTATATTCAGATTGCCACCATTGACGAGCACGAATTTTGGTTAATGGGATTCGTCAATTTTGAGAAAGCATCCCAGAATCTCTTAGAGAGTGTGTCGAATTTCAGGGAAGCAGGACATGCAATTCAGCCAGTTGTTGGTTAGCCAATTATTGTAATATTAACATTTTTGGTTTTTTTTGTTTCTTGTGTATTTCTTGCTGTAGCATAAAGCGCTTTTTGGTTAGTTTTGTGGTTGTAATTTATTTATTCTTCTCAGTCTGTGTATTTATTTGTTTGATTATCTGCTACATTTTTTCATACAATGTTGTGAATCATTTGGATGTTTGTAATAAATTTCCTACGCACAAAGATGAAGCTTGAAAATTAGCCATCAACTGATCATTAGGCTTTACTTCGACGGGTTGCAATGCCAATGGATGGAAAAGATAATAGGCTTTCATGTTGTTCAACTTTTGATGGTAAAATAAGAAAATGCTAATCATTTCTATAATATTTTGAATTTTTAACTAAACAGAGATAAATTTTAACTTTTTTTTTTTTTTTTTGTCCGTAATCAAGTCTTGCTTTTATGCTGATCCATATCTAGCGACATGTTTTTTGCTTGTCGATAGTCACATAACAAAAAAAATCCAAATTCAAATAAAATATCCATAACATCTTTTTTTTTTTTTCTTTCTTTTATCCTTCTCGCTTCTCCATTATCTCTCTCTCTCTCCCTTCTTTCTCATTTCTCTTTTCGTTCTCTATCTCTTTTTTGTTCTCTCTTTCTTTCTCTCAACTATCTGTTTGTGTCTTCTTTATTTTTATTTTTTTCCTTTCTCTTCTCTTATCTCTCTAATTTCTCTCTACAAGACATCCATTTTCTAAAATTTTAGGATGGTAGATAATTCATAATTGTGATGTTATGTCTGTCAAATATTTTTTTTCCTCTAGGTCTTCTAAGGCTTTCAGATTCTGTAATGTAATTAACTACTTGGCTTTGCATTACTAAACACCAGCAACACATGCAGACTTTTTTGTCCAGAATTCATCTGGATTAAAGGTTGGGATCTAGATCGAATTAAAGGTTTGGGACCTTTCTCTGTTTGACAAAAAATTAGGTTACGAAAAAAATCAATTAACCATAAGAAAATAATTAAGAGTAAATTATTCTTTCATCCTTTAGTTTTCAACTCAATTGTAACTTGTTCTTTAGTTTTCAAAAAACTATAGTTATATCCTCCACTTTAATTCTCCATTCATGACTTAAGTCTTTTTTTCAATATATTGTTAGGATTCAATTTGTGAATACCGTATGACCTGTGTAATAAGTGATATTGGTGTTGCTCAAGCAAAAATGCTACTTGCGAGAAATGTGGCAGCATCATACATTCAAATCAGCTGCTAACAAGTGGTCCTAAACTGTGGATTGAACTCCCATAGCTGTTTCTCACAAGCACTGGTCAATACCCTGAATCAACAAAAAATAAAAATATATATATATATATTTACGGTTGAACATAATAGATAGTTTAGATCGATATTAGACCATCATTTGTAGCAATTGGTGTGTATTGTCAACCCATTATTCTTCTTGGGCAAAATTAGACCGCTACGCATCCATGACATGAATTTTAGAATGTAACCATCTATGTATTATTTTAATACTATCGTTTACATATAAGTATTTTTTTGTGTATTTTTTACTTCAAAACTTAAAACGACGTTCTTATAGAATAAACATATCGCATCAGAGGTGCGACGGAAGCATCAAGAAGATACAGAAATTATAATTCATTATTATTACTTAAACTTATAAGTTATATTATTTTTAAACACTAGAGTTTATCGATGTCAGCAAACTATTTAACTAGATATTTTAATAATCTTGCTATCATCTTTTTTTTTTAAAAAAAAAAAACCTTTACCAGTACTCCTTTGTCAAATTTTTTTTTTTTTTATAAGACAAGTAGACGTAGATAGTGTTATTAGAGAATAATATAAATCATATCTTAGGGCCTTATCTAATAGCTTAAGCGTTTAGGTAAGATGGTCCTTGACATGGTATCAGAGCCTTAATAAAACGGTTGCGAGTTTGAATCTTATCACCCTCACTTTCTTTTCTAATTAATTAAGCACAAGGTAATGTGAGCATGTGCAAGTTTCAAGTCCAACTTGAGAGGGTGTGTTAGAGAGTAATATAAATTATATCATAGGGTTTTATCTAACGAGCTTAAGCATTTAGGTAAGATGGTCCCTTGATAAGTGTTGCGTCCAATGCCTATAATTTTTTATATTTTGAAATCAGAACATATTTTGAATTTTTTTCTTAAAAATTAAATATTTACAAATTCATACGAAATAGAAAATGATTGAGAATGATTTCAAATTTTTTTTAGGCTCTAAAATTTTTTTATATATATTTATCTACTTATTCTTAATATTAATTTCAAAATATTTAAAAGGTTGAATACTTAATGACTAATCAAAGTTTAAAATGGATTAACTTTGAGAACT